CAAATGAGATTACGCAGCGTGCACTTTTGGTTTTTCCAAACTTTTTTCATTTTGTAGAAAAATGAACACGTATCATAGAATTTTGATAGTTTAAGTCAAGTAAACAATGCACTTTTAATTGTATCAATCACAGGGTAAAAAATGTTCATCTTAGACAATTTTTTAGGATCAGTTGGTGTCTCACCTATGGCTTTGTACACAAATAATATTGTCTTATTCGGGATCGGGCTAGCTTAAAAATTGGATCTATCTGTCATTAAAGCAGATGAAAAGGCTCGGTACTGTTTCAAAATTTTGAAACAATACGAAACCTTTGGTAAATCCATACTGCAATTTTTCGATTCAGACTGCATAGCTTTTTTTGTGCAAGCAGCTATGCAGGTCTAGAAAGGCCAGTATCACTGCGACTTAAAAGATCTATTGTGATCGCTGCTAAGGCTATAGTTCACTGCTAAGCTCTATGTCTTCAATGAATAGGAGTTGCTTAGCTGTGAGCAATTTCACTTCTTCTGGACGAAGTAGATAGTTTCTCAGATGTGTTACGTTTGCGCATTAAGGGTCTGCAGTCAGTCCGGATGTGCAGAAACGTTTTTTCTATTAACAAACAGAACCGTCACATCCTTGAGTTGTTTAGTCCCAAGATGGCCATGTGCTTTTTAGGACAACAGTGTCCAGAGTCAGGGCTCTTTTCAGAATGCGCAGTTTATTTTTAAAAGCCCGTATTAAGGTTTTAAAATGTTTTAAGCATGGTGTATCAGACCAGATCTTAAGTGATTTATTGTGATAAAGAGTTTCAAGAGTCAATCGGGCTAAGCTTTTTGAGATTCCACAAAATGGCTCGGTTCCAAATTGTGTGCTCTTTATGCCCTCCCGTGCGAGCTCATCGATAATTTCATTGCCTATATATATAATACCCGCGTGGCACGGAACCCATCTTAAAACGACACTGTTGTTACATCCCAAGGTACATTACATCCCAGACGGTTCACACAGTCTCCAACTAGTTTTGAATTCACTAAGTTTGACCTCAGCACTAGCAGTGTTTCTTGACTATCATAGTTTATATAGATTATATGATTGACGTAGTGATTTTTCAGATTGATTTCCGCACACTGAAGTATGAAATTTCTGCCTGGAAGATAGAGATGAATTTACCCTTATTCATACTAAGTTTATAGTGGACGCATGATATCTGAGATCATGCAAAAGAACCGTGTTTCCTTATCGAGTCGAGCATGGATCTCAATTTTTTGGAAAGCAAGCGCAGACAGCCCTGGGCGTTAATCATATACAAACTAGCCCTTGCCTCCTGGTCTAAATAAAGATCAAGGGCGTTAGGCACAGAAATGCATTAAGAGCTGCTCCAGGCGATGATCGCATCGCTCCAGTTGCCATTAAGAATGCAATCCCTTGTAGACTATTTATAGTCTATCCACAGTCGTCTTTTGGTTGATTTTATTACACCAGACAATTGAGTCGTAGGCGATAATCGGCCTCACATGGTGCTGTACAGCCATAGGATCATACTGGGACAAAAGCCCCAGTAGTTCCCCATACGACTGCACGCACCTAAAACAATTTTAGACGTATGACATACGGTGCTTTTTTTTTTTGCGGATGGAAAATCATCTAATGACCCCTTTCGCTCTGGGTGGAGCGTAAGGGAGTGTTAGACTTTTACTGACTAAAAACCATCCGTGTTCCTTCAGTGCCCTTACGTTCCGGAGCCGCGGTATCTCTTTCGAACAGCCTGCAGCCCCGGCAGGCGTCGGCCCTTGCGGGCCCCTTCACGCTGCTGACAGCTCTTTGAGGCGCGCGTGGAACAAAACGCGCCGTCGACACGGCCTGTCGTCATTAGACGGACGGTCGACGAGCTACCCATTGCTCGCCGTCCACAGGCCCGCGCCTACGGTGGCCGGGGGCCACGACGTAGCCCCCGACGCCCGGGGCGTCTCCCGCGGCGGCCGGGGAGGAAAGCTGCTGCTCTCTCCTTCTCCCGCTCCGCCACCTCCTTCGCTAGCATCACTGCTTCGCAGAAGGTGGTGACGGCATCCCATTCCGTCTCGCTCCGGACCATGGCTTCGACCAGGGCCGGACGCGAGAGGTCGCCGCCGCCTATCGCCGCTACGAGGACACGGCGGTGCTCCGCCCAAGCAGGGCACACCTCCACGGTGTGTTCCACCGTGTCCTCCGGTCCATCCTCGCAGTGGGAGCACCCGGGCGTTTTCTCCCGCCCGATTCGGTGCAGGAACCTCCCAAACACACCGTGTCCGGTGAGGACCTGCGTCAGGCGGAAGGTGAGGATGCCGTGGCGTCTCTCAAGCCACTCCTCAAAGAGGGGTCTTATCGCCGCTATAGTGGCGTGCCCAGCACGGGGTTGCGACAGTCGCTGTCTCCATGTCGCCATGAGATCGTGCCGGAAGTCTGTCCGCTGCGCGACAACTTGCCGCGGCAGCGGGGTTTCCCCACGGCACTGTGCCTCCGCACGCCATTCGTGCAGGCGCGCGAGGACTATCGCCTCCAGATCCCATGGCGGCAATCCGGCAAGGAGGCTCGCCGCCTCGCGGGAGATCGTGCGGTAGCCGCGAACCATTTTCACGGCTATCACCCTTTGGGGCGCGTTCAGATGGTGGACGGCAAGCCGCGCCAAACCACGCGCCCACACCGGGGCCCCGATGACATACGGTGCTAAGGTGAGAGTTCCACGTTAGTTTTTGGTCGATTGTTACGCTCAAATATTTAGGTAACAGTTTCGATAATTAAAAGAATCAGGCATTACTTTGTGGAAATCCATTATATTGAAGTTATTAGTACTTATTTGCTCAGTTCCGCGTAATAATGTAAAATGATGTCCTGCCCAGTCTGAAGAGCAACCACCTCCCAACCTCCCTCATTTGCGTACACCAGCACCCTCAGCACCACCCTACCCAGTACCATCACACTAGGAACGACACACCACCCTTGGATAATACATTTGTTTCGGCTCTATACGAGGCATTCATGAAGTAGACTTTGCGGAGGCTGACAATATCTTCGCCAACATTAATCCCATCACCACCACTCTGAGCACTCTCTACGCTCTCCACACGCTCCTATTTATATAAATCGTTGATCAGCAAGTTGTATAAATAGCAACTATTTCGGCTCGCCGCTCACTTAGCCTTTAGATACCGCAGAGACTTCACCTGTGGATGCCTCGTGTAAAGTACGAGCGTAGAACCACGTCGGGCGAAACACGTCTCGTATTATCGAGAGTGGTGTGTCGATCCTAGTGTGGTGGTGTTGCGTGTTGTGGTACTGGGAGTGGTGGCCACGGGGATAGTGCATGCAATTGAGGGGGGTTGGAAGGTGCTCTTCAGACAGGGTAGGACACATCATTTTATTTTATTACGCGAATATGAGCAAATTAAGTTCTAATAACTTCAACCACATGGATTGAAAAATGCCCGAGAATAATGAGTCAAATTCTGGTTTGAACACCTTTAATTTTCTTGCCATGTTCACACCATTATTGTACCCTTGACCTCGACAGTCATCATCATCATCATCATCATCATTACAGCCCTTCACAAGTCCACTGCTGAACACAGGCCTCCCCCAAGTAATGCCACAAAGCACGGTCCTGAGCCACCTGCATCCATCGACTTCCTGCATGTCTTACTAGGTCGTCACTCCATCTAGTGGGGGGTCGCTCTACACTACGTCTACCGGTACGAGGCTGTCACTCGAGAACCTTTCTTCCCCATCGGTTATCGGTTCTTCGAGCTATTACGAAACTTCGAGCATAGCCCTCTCTATAGCTAGCTGAGCGACTTTGAGCGTCCTCATACGGCGAGCAGTGTAGGACCACGTCTCAGATCCGTAAGTCATCACTGGCAACACGCAACGGTTGTACAATCTAGTTTTCAGAGAATGAGGTATACCTGACGCGAAGATGTGTCGTAATTTCCCGAACGCTGCCCAGCCGAGTTGAATCCGTCGATTGACCTCTCGGTCGAAGTTGGAATTATCGTAATAATTATAATTATCAACAACTTCGAGCATAGTGCTCTCAACAACTACCGGCATAGGTGTGACATGGAAATTCTTCTTTTCTTTTCTTTTCTTTCATCTTAAGACCTATCCGTTGGGAGACACCATTGAGGTCATTTAGCATAGTGCTTAGGTCCTCCAGCGATTCTGCCATAAGGACTATATCGTCGGCAAACCGAAGGTGAGTGATATACTCGCCATTGATGTTAATACCGTATCCTTTCCAGTCTAGTAGCTTGAAAACGTCTTACAATGCAGCGGTGAAGAGTTTCGGGGATATAACGTCACCCTGTCTTACACCTCTCTGCAGTTGGATAGGTTTCGAACTCTGGTTCTGTACTCGGATAGCCATCGTAACCCTACTGTACAAACACTTCAGCACTTCGATATACCGACAGTCAACTTGGCACCGCTGAAGGGACTGTAGCACCGCCCAAATTTCGACGGAATCAAAGGCTTTCTCATAGTCCACATACGCCAGGCAAAGTCGACAGTCATTCATGTCTAAATCAAACACTTGTGCAATTTCATCAAAAAGAGGCTAGTAAGTTCCAAAATTTGTGCTCCAAAATTGCCATCAAAAAGAGGCAAGTAAGGCCTTTTTCCGAAGAGTCACTTGCTGGCTTGTGAACAACAAAATACTCGTGCTTTGACTTCCTAATAAGCGTCAACAAAACGGAATGTTAGTGATAAGAGTGAGTGAATTGGTGACCGGTGCGGTGGCACCGCTTGCACCTCCCTAGGGCCGCCACTGCATCTTAGCCATGGAGTATAGAGGTAATATATAATTTTAGCCTTCAAGGATGGCACCATGACTATAATTTTTTAAGAAGTTATTAAAAAAATGTACCATGAAGACAATAAAGTCACCATCAGTTTTTTGCTTAAAGGGGACTACAGGTGCTAAACACAAGTTTTATAATCAGTCGCGTGCGCGCACCCGTATGAGTGGGGCGTGTCAACTTTTAATGAGCGTTAACGAGCGCATTTCAATAAATATGATGAACGTAGGGAAGTGCAATAAATGTAACATCGTCAATGACGAGGTGTTGTCATATATACAAAATAAAATATCGATCGCAGACGAGGAAACTCTAGTGCGTATTTGTAAGTCGGCATTTACAAGTGAGGATATCAAGAACTCGAAGACACTTTTGTTTGAGTCTATCCCAACGGACAAAAGAAAAATATTACGAAAGAATAAAGGGAAAGAAGAGCGTGACGTAGCAGATATGATAAACTTATTTAAAACTACGGAGCCCGACCTTATCCCAGTTTTTGTGGCAAGACAGTTAGATAAACTACCACCAATCTTATGGGATCATTTATACTGTTCTAAACTGTTGAAGGACATGATAACGATGAAGACTGAAATCGTAGGCATAAAGTCGACTTATGCTACGCTAGAGTGTGTAAATGAACTAAGAACGGAAGTCTATGAGCTAAAAACCGATTCCCAACCGCCGGCGTCAGCTTTCAAAATGAATATGAAACGAGGTGCGTGGCACCAGTGGACAGAGACAGTGGACCGATGGAACTCTCACATGATTATGATATGTTGCCCAATGAGATAAGTACAAGAAACATAAATGAATCATTGATCATAAAATCACTGATTACTACTCAGTCGGCAAAGCAGTCTGTGATTAATGTTGATGTAATATGTGACACTCAATGGACGGACCACTTTCCACTTATTATAAATTGCGACTTAAAATTACTAACCCCTAAAGTATTACCTAAAATTATGAATCCAAATAAAGATATATTATGGGGTGAAAGAAGTGTTGAACAAATCTCTATGTATACCAGTGAGTGTCATAGGAGGCTAAGATTGATTGACTTTCCTTCGGATTGTGTGAGCTGTGCTGATTATGCTTGTAATGACCGTGGCCACTGGCATACTCTAAATAAGCTTTACGCCGACAATGTGACCGCCCTTCGTGACGCAGCAGTGGTAAGTAGGGGAAGCATGAAAGTGGAGGGGAGTGGCTCGCGCATAGTGGGTTGGAACAAGCACGTAAGCGCTGCTCATAGAGAGGCTAGGTCCAAGTTACATGAATGGGTGATGTGTGGAAAGCCAAAGTCAGGTCCTGTTTACCGAGAAATGTGCGAAAGCAGACGAGTTTTCAAGTTCAGATTAAAGTGGAGCCAAGACCAACAAGAACAAATAAAAATGGACTCTCTTGCCGTAAAGCATTCAAAGGGTAACTTTAAGGGCTTCTGGAAACACACTAGTAAAATTAATGTACGGCCTGGCCTTCCTGTGAGCGTCAATGGTGTAATCAACCCCAAGGACATTGCAAATGTCTTTAGAGACTACTTTTCTGTGAAATCGTCACTGGCCCCGGCTGGGGGTGTGATCAATAGTAACATGAGTAGTCACGTGGTAACAACCGCGTTTTTAGCAAACGATGTTTCAAAAGCCATAAAAAGTATATCAAGAGGTAAGTCACCGGGACATGACAGTCTTAGTATTGAGCACCTGCAGTATGCCGGGCCACATGTCACGAGGGTATTGGCTATGTTTTATTCGCTGTGCGTGGGCCATTCTTACTTACCAGCCGCTTTTATGAGGACAGTTGTGGTGCCTGTAGTGAAAAATAAAACTGGTGATCTTACTGAAAAAAGTAACTACAGGCCTATCTCCCTTGCCACTGTCATAGCAAAGGTGTTTGACGGGTTGCTTAATGCACAGTTAAATAAACACGTAAAGCTGAATGATAACCAGTTCGGGTTTCGACCGCAGCTGTCGACTGAAGCGCACTATTGTAAGATGTCTTCAACAGTCAACAAAATACCCCACTTACCTCTTATAGACAAACTTGCTGCCTATGGCTTTACAGGAAATTTTGCCAACTGGATTAATTCATATCTAACGAATAGACGTTTCTTCGTTGTTGCTAAAGGCTATAAGTCTGAATCTCACAAGATAACTTCAGGAATTCCTCAAGGATCGCATTTGGGGCCAATTCTTTTTAACGTATATATCAACGATATGCCCAATAGTTTCCTTTCATCAACGCCCTATCTATTCGCAGATGATTTGAAAATTGCCAGAACTATTAAGTCCTAAGCTGATGTTCTCTTGTTACAACATGATTTAAGTAGGTTATACAATTGGTGCTGTACAAATGGAATGGAATTAAATATAGATAAATACTTTTTTATTAAATTTACACGCAAACATACTAAAACTGAATCCAAATATTATATTGATGGCAAACCATTAAAAGAAGTTGATAGAATTAAGGACCTGGGAATAATTCTAGATAACAAATTAACTTTCGTACCACATATTGAAAGCATTGTTAGGCGCTCATCTAATATGCTGGGCTTTATTATTAGAAACAGTAAAGTGTTCAAAAACTTACAGACACGTATCACTTTGTATAAAGCACTAGTACGTAGTCTTCTTGAATACTGCCCTGTTGTATGGAGGCCACACTATGCCACGCACATATTAAGAATAGAACGGGTCCAAAAATGCTTTTTATGGCATCTATCTCACATCTCCAAAGTTTCAAAGAAAAAGTTATCCTATCATGAAAACCTCAAACACTTTAAAATGTCCTCGTTGAATAAAAGAAGGACCCTTTTCGACCTAATATTCATTTATAAATTTTTTAATAATCAAATTGACTGCCCTCAGCTTCTAAACCTTTTTTAATTTCAGGATCCCCTTCAGGGTTCCAAGGAAACCTGTTTCTCTATTTTATCCGCCATTCCGCAGGACTATTTTAGGAAAACATTCACCAGTTCCTCGTCTGTGTAACGCATTTAATACGTGCTTTATTAATGATCCCAAGGATGTTTTCTCTCTTAAACTTAACCAGTTTCGTGCACATTTGTTAAAAAAATCCCAGATTAATTACACCTATCTTTTACCTGTTATAAGTAGTTTAAAATTAACCTTATATCAATGTAAAAGGTTGGAACCTACTTATGTCATATGTTAAAATAGCACGTTGTGTTTACCTGTAACTGATTGTGCATTTAGCTCATTATAGTTTATTACAATGTAACTACTTTAAGTTTTTGTAATGTAACAGTCGTTGGTAGACCAAATAAATAAATAAACAGTCAAAACAGTGACCATGGTTTTGTTGGCAGTAAGACGTAGGTCATACTCACTGCCAAAATGGTATGAATCCTTAGTGTGTGCTCTTTGTGTGTCCTCTGAGTGGTGATAATACTTTAGCTAAGTGTTGAGCCAATCTGTAGGTTGGCGAATCAATCTGACTCACTATTGGACGTAATGGAGCGTTCGGTTTATGTATTTTTGGTAACCCATACATCTTCGGCGGTTTGGCAGATGAAGGTATTATCGAATTAACGTCTAGATTCAATTTCGTTTTTGATCATATCCTAGACGGCCCTAACCATTACATCAGATTTGATAGACCACAAATCCTCGAGAAAGAACACCGATTCCTACCAAGGATGATACGTGAGGCTATTGAAATTAAAAAACATCCTAATTTCAATAGAGAAGGAGGCTGGGTGCTACCACCTGCTTGGGACCCTATTATCAATAAAATTAAAACTAAACCCAAGCGTACCACTGCAAGACCTCAAGACATAGTCAGTTCATTTTGCACCATAAACAATAATTAAAAAAGCTGAAGGTACTCCGGGTTTAACAATGAAATCGGGACGTCAGTCACCTCAGTCCCCTGTGACCATGGGTGCTGGAAAGCACCCGAAACGTCGAGAATTAAAAATAAAAATAATTAAAATTAAACTCGATAAAATCCGTAAAAGTACTTTTAATCATCAATGTGCGTAAATATAAGAAATCGTCATGTATTCCGTACTTACTGTATATTAACTTACGATATATAGAACTTCAACATTGATATATTTATAATTATCGATATATCAAAAATACGATATTTTAAAAAATATCACAGTCCCAGTTTGGACTGATCAGTTGGATTGATCGTGTGTGTGGAAATTTCTTTGGCTTAAATCCGTTTGAACTGATATCAGTTCGACTGATGACTTTAACTGACCGTGTGTGGCTACCAGGGGTTGAAAGCGGTAAAGGTATAAGGGTATGGTACCGGTATAGAATTACGATACAGCTTCGATTTAAAGGTAGAACCAAAACGGTTGAGAATTACGGTTGTGGTAGCGTTAAAAAAAGAATTATACCTATATTTTTTTACGGTATCGTTATACCTAATATTTTACTAATACCTTTACCGAAATAATTTCCGTACCGAAAAAAATGAGTATTTTAGGCTTATTTATATGTATTGTGTCTCGGACCTTGCTTAACGTTATGAGACTTTCATTCGATTTGGATTTCCTATGATACTGTATTTCATGTTCGGAGAAAATAAAACATCTTTATCATATTTGTATTGTTATTTATTATCAGTCAAGTATTTAATTAAAAACGTTATGTTATGTTTAACATGTGTATGCATGTACCAATTCTTAACCTAGCTCTTCAGAATCAGTTAAAGGAACATCTTTAAAGTGCTTCCCTTCGAAGGGATGTAGGAATACTAATATTTTTGAGTACACACGGGCTCGCATACAAGTTTTTATATTTTGCATCCCTTTTTTTATAAGTAAGCTAAAAATTACTGCCGTGTAGTGGCGGTTAAGAATCCCCGTGGGTGTCGTAAAAGGCGACAGAGGGAAAGCGGCAGGAGATGGGAAGCAGCATCTTCCTGATAACATCAATTGTACAATAAAAAAACTGCAGTTGCCAACCCACTCGTAAAGTGTGGCAACTATGGAAATACCCCCCATGAGCAATGACACAAGTAAACGGCCCCAGTCCCACGGCGGCCGCGCTATTCCTGGCTAGGTGGCGACCATGGTAAAGGCGGAATAGGGGGTGCTAAGAATCTCCGGTGGAGGGTCGGTTGCCAACTAAGACGATTCGACTTGGCAACAAACAACGGACGCACCCTGATGACTACCAAGAAGATCCTGGAGCTGGAAAAAGAGATAGACAAGTTGCGCTTGAATATTATAGGATCATCCGAGGTCCGAAGAGGAGGACACGGTAATTCTCGAAACCGGCAACTTGTTCTATCACCGAGAGGGCGACCATCTGTCCCAAGGAGGTGTTGGATTTATCGTCCACAAGTCTCTCGTTAACAACGTTGCAAAGATTGGTAGTGTGTCGACGAAGGTTGCGTACCTCATATTGAGAATCACCAAACGGTATCCAAGGTCATACAGGTCTACGCACCAACATCTATTACATTTCTAGATATTCTCTATGATATTTCTAGAGCCATGCATTCTTATAGAACCCACTATACGGTGTTAATGGGAGACTAGGCAAAAGGAAGAAAGGTGGGCTAACGGTAGGTAAATTTGGGATAGGGCAATGGAACACAAGGGACCAGCAGCTGGCCGACTTCATGGAGAAAGAGGGACTGTTTATGATGAACTCTTTTTTCTAGAAGCGGCTCCACAGAAAGTGGACCTGGTCGAGCCCCGACGGTACGATAAAAAATGAGATGGACTTTATTATGACGAAGAGACGGCAACTGTTCAGTGATGTCTCAGTGATCGCAAGTGTGAAAACTGGCAGCGATCACCGAAT